AGGGCAGCATACACACACCAGACGACTTATTCGCTGAGGGCAGCATACACACACCAGACGACTTATTCGCTGAGGGCAGCATACACACACCAGACGACTTATTCGCTGAGGGCAGCATACACACACCAGACGACTTATTCGCTGAGGGCATCATACACACATCGGATGACAGCTTTTGAGTTGAGTATGTCAATTGTTTGTTTCATCTCGATCATACTGCTATTTCGCATTTCTTACATTCACCGAATCTAGTGACCAATCAGAATGTTCTATTACAAGACTGCTTATGCATTAAAATTATCAAGTTAAATCTTTTTGTTCTCATCAATAGTCTTCGGACTTTTTTATGTGACATCAAAAATGAAAAACACTGGCAATATGACATTTTCGAAGTTCATCAGTATTCAAACTTGCGTATAGGGTCGACATGCCACAATCACGGTATGTTACAGTCATTGTTCTCATAACGTTTGCAATGTCAACGATCATGCAACACGTTACGCATTGCGTAATGAACATTCTCGGTTATACCGTGACATATTGGATTTGTAAAATAGAGGCTTGGTCCTCTTTTCCATAGCGAATTCACCTCGTGTAGAATTGTTGACAAGACTCACTAAACGCCTTCGAAAATGAGAAATTCTCTAAAATTGATAGATGATTTGGGCGATTGGTTTAAGCATAGACCCTCCAGTAAGTCTACGATTCACGTCGTAAAAGTCTTCGTATTCTGACTCAACTTTTTATCTACAGTTTTACTTTATATTCCTCAATAATCCATGTTTTTTTATGTAATGTGTGGCATTTACAAGGCTCGTTTGTACACAATGTCATTTTTTGAATATTCATTAGCTAATAAAATGTTTTATTTCATATTGTATTTAGCAATGTTAGCATGTACCTATCGCGAATATATCTAGTTACGAGTGATACTGCAATTTATCATATACATGTACTAGTACGATCAACAGTACCTTGTAACGCTATGGGAAGTGCGCCCTCACATAAGGACAACACTCGTTACTAGTACAAATGCACTAGTATTTCCCGTATCGCGCCCGGCTTTCATCAATCAAAACAAAAGACGTTATTCTAAATTACTTCGTGTGTCGCATTGCAGTCGAGCCGCGATACAAAGTTGCGTGTCAACATCAGTCACGTGATTTACTCTATATATACCCGGTAGTATCAATTTCGAATTACTGCACTACTTCAACTGTGGTCACTTGATCTACTGCTGGGTACTTCTTTTGTGTTCATCCGAAGTGAGCTAGGGAATGACCATTTATTATTCCTGAGGGGGGGGGGGTCGGGCAAAACAGAGGAGCATATTTTCCAAAGCCGCAAAGGTTTGAAGGGGGCGAATATTTTTCTCTTAAAGATTGAGACACAAATTTTTTTTACTTTACGCCTTTTTATTGAACAATAAAAATACATGCACATATAGAGAATTGCCCGACCCCCTTAGGCATAATAAATGGTCATTCCCTCGGTCAAACCTGCTGAATTATGCAGATGGCCGAGATTCCCATAATTCCCAGGTCCAATCCCTTCTAGTATCAGGGGTAAAATCTCTTTTCTCGGGTTCTCCACACTTGTCAGGGGGGAAACTCGTCTCGTCTCTCTATCTCGTCCCCTTGAGGTACGGGATCGGGAAAGTCACTTTAACTTTACAGTCAAATAAGACACACACAACGAAATACGTTTCAGCTCTCGTCTTAGTCGGTCAATCGAGCACTCTATAAGACACAGCGCCCTGGGGAAAAGTCCCCAAGACTCTCACAAGGCTGAACCAAGACTCGCCCAAGACTGGACTGCCTCAAGGCTCGCCCCTGGACTGGACTCTCGGACTTTCGACTCGACTGCGTCTGTCGTGGAGTATTCCCCAAGACCAACTCAAACTCTCTTTATTCATTTTCAAAACTCTAACCAATTACAAAACAGTAAAAGACTCTAGGGCGTAACCTTCAATCATAAAGCCAATCACACTAAGTACTGAATACGTCATATCTTTTGATTAATCGTTCACTACATTAATAACTACGGATGTCAGAATAGCGACGGTATCTTGTAATTAGTTCCAAACCACTGAGCCAAGTTCCGTCCAAAACTTCAAATAGACCTTAACGATGACAGACATAACACAGCAATTCGCTCGTAATCAACTAATTAAGTCGGTTAACAGATACGCAAAAACAAATTCATGACACTAGTATTACTGGTATTACGACATTAGATTAGATATTCCTACAGTTTGAGTCACATCGAATGAAACTACTAGCCATCGTGGAAATAGGGCCCCGCTATGGAAGGCCAAGTGTTGCAATATTCATTAAAAATATTTATGTGCGAGAATTTAAATTTATATTTATGAATTACATATTTGTATTCATAAAACCTTTATTTATATTCTTGAAATCTCTATTTGTATTCTTGAAATCTCTATTTGTATTCTTGAAATCTCTATTTGTATTCGTGAAATCTATATTTGTATTCGTGAAATCTATATTTGTATTCGTGAAATCTCTATTTGTATTCGTGAAATTACATTTTCTATTTCTACTGATTTTTTTTATTTGTGTTCATAAAACCTACATTTGTATTCGTAAAATCTGTTTGTGTAAGTGAAATCTCTATTTGTATTCGTGAAACTACTTTTTTTCATTTCTAACAAAATCTCCATTTGTGTTTGTAAAATGCCCATTTCTATTCGTTAAACTTTCATTTGTACTTGTAAAATCGCCATTCACTTACTCGTGTCTTGCAAGCGTGGAGGTGCTACTACTGC